TAAATATAAATTATTTGTTACTATAATGATGAGTATTTAATTTGAGTCTAAGATATTTTTAACAATTAATGAACTTAGCTAGATTAAAAGTGGATCAAATTTTATCAATTAAGTATTTTTTCTTTGAAATTAACAAAAGCTTATTTTAATTGGCTCCCAAAAATTATGTATATAGCTCTTTATATCTTAATGCGAATAATTTTAAATTATTCGTACAACAATTTACTAAATATTTATTTGATTATTTGCCAGTAAAATTACGTTTATACTTTCTTTGTGTTATGTAGCCGATTTTAAATTCATAAAAATTAAATGACATTTCTGTCATATAACCCTATAAAGACATTTAAACGTCACAGAGCCTGTTTTTCGCACCACGTGTAAAACAATCTGTAACAATTACTTTATTATTTACGGCAAAGAAAATAAAAATAAAATAGTATTATATAGCATATATAATTCCTTAATATTAACATTCTTAAAGAAATATAAACATTGATTACAAGTTAATAAGCACACATATGACAATTGCGAAATAATAATAAGTAGATTCTACAATTACACCGGTTTTCTGATATTACTAATACATTTCGAAATATAAAATACTATGTATATAATTACTAAATAACTACCAGTAAACCGATGTATATATTTCTTACTACAATACAAAAGAAAAACATTAAGTAATTAATATCAATAAGAAGTAACAGGACAGTGCACAATACCTACACATACGTTCAGAAGCTAAGTATACAATTAAATTCTTAACATTTGACATCTACAAACATATATTCTAATAACACATTTAATTACCCATATAATAATACAATTTTATTAGAAATTTTGGTACAGAGATAGATTAGTAGAGATAGATAGTCTGGAAAACACATGGGCACTTTTTATCCCGGAAAAATGTACGGTTCCCGTGAGATAGGATTGCTTTTGATTAGTGATATTTAAAGTATGTACGTACTATACGATTTTACATTTAAAGATAATATAAAACTTGTAATACTTTATTTAAAAAAAGTTTCACCTTTTTATTATTTAACTAATTCAATAGTTGTTTCAGAATTCAGCATGAAACGACAAGACAAACACTTGATATCTAATAGTATATTAAAATTAATTTATATTGGTAGGAATTGTATATTCATATATATTTAAAGATGAACGACGGACTAAAATATGAAGTTAATTGCTATTTGTATTTATGTATACTTATTATAATTTTTTTAACTTTCGCTTTCTCTATAATGAATACTTTTGCAATTTAATACCGTCTTAGATTACGCGAATATTTGACATCTGGGTTACACATATACAAATAAAATCAAAGTTTGCTACAACACTTATAACTCGTGACCTGCTGGACCGATTTTAATGATCTCTGTTTTGTTGGATTTGTCTTAACCCCGAATAGCAGAATAACTATTATAAAATCGAAAAATTCACGAATAAAAAAAGTGAAAAAAAAACTATTTCATAGGTAGGTACTAAGCGTCAAATTGTACGTAGGGATGAACCTGAGCGAAGCAAGGGTGACTTGCTAGTTTTAAATAAAACTATTTTTTTGGATTTTATCGCGTTGTTATTTTGATATTTTGTTCCAGACATTTTCATATGTGATTCCTTTAAGCTACAAAAATATTCGACATATCAAACGATCGCTATAAAATTAAAACGAAATATCTGTTGTATTTAGGTAAATAATGGATTCTCTAAATAAGAGTATTTTAATGTATTTATAATATATTTTTCGTATCTGAACCGTAAATATGTACCAAGGCAATACCCTCCAACCGATGTAACAAGTTTTAGAGAGTACTCAAAGCGATAGAGCATTTTTAATTTGGTGATGTTAAAATTTTTAGTTAGACTAATTTTTACAATGTGCAGAGAAAACAATTTGAAACGCACTACTTTATAGATTTATGTAATTTTATAACTAAAGTGATATTTTTTATGACAATCTATTACATTATATGTAAATAATTACTTGTAGAAAGTTAGAGGCCCAAAATACAATAGTAGTCCTTCAGATTATATCATAAATATCTTAGATTATTAAGACAAATAAATAATCTAAGAAAAATATATAGAATAATTTGTATTAAAACATAATTTATTGTACAAGTTAATAAGCACACATATGACAATTGCGAAATAATAATAAGTAGAATCTACAATTACACCGGTTTTCTGATATTACTAATACATTTCGAAATATAAAATAGTTATCATTAATATACTATGTATATAATTACTAAATAACTACCACTAAACCGATGTATATATTTCTTACTGCAATACAAAAGAAAAACATTTAGTAATTAATATCAATAAGAAGTAACAGGACAGTGCACAATACCTACACATACATACATTCAGAAGCTATAGGTACATTTAAATTCACTTTAAGTAATCTTCGATTTTTTGCTCAGAATATTTCTGTAAGAATATTTATAATAATGTTTATATATATTGTGTGGAAGTGATCGATTGATAGGCGCGACTTATCAGTAAGCTTTTCCGTTGCTCTCAGGTGCGTGAATGAGTGCATATCGAGTCAGTTGGTTACGCTTTTTATGACTGCGATTACCTCAAGTTTTACTACGAAAATAGCTTACGTATGTAGGGCAATAGGCCATTGTTTATAATATAAACATATTATGAAGCCCCTACGTCATTTTGTTTTAACGATGCTTGAACGTTTTAAGTAATCGAATTTTAAATGTAAGATCTGAAAACAAACATTTCTTATATGATCTAAGATAATATATGACTTATAATACTTGTTTATCGATGCTTGCTTCGTAGCGATGCTGGATTCACTGCTTGCATCTGAAATATAAAAACGAAAAAAGTTTATTTCAAAGTATTTTCATTTTTTACGTATTTCATTTGCAAAAACATTAAGAGGCGTTTTTAAATAATGAGTTAAGCAATACTTATTTATTAAAATGAACTTAAAAAAATTTAATTCATTAAAATTTATATGTTAGCTACAAAAGTATGAAAATATGCTTACCATTTAAAAGTCTGTATGAGATTATTCCGCGACGCAAATGTTTTCAGACCCCATCTGAAAAAGTCATTAATAAAAATTAAAGCAACAGGTTGTAACCATATACGACCATTAATTTTGAAATTTACATTAAATGCCGTTCACAGTCACAAGAAAATAATAAATAACGTGTTTTTGAATTACAAATTTATGTTAATTTTTATTTAAATTTATTAATATATTATGATTCCTGTAAGATTGTATCTATAAAATTGTTATGATTATTATAAACATTTATAAAAAAACACATATCTGTCAAAAATACCAAGCGATACACTGTTTTGTTATTGACACACATTTTCTGCTTACAAAACAGAACACATTGAACAATAACATTGCATAAAATGCAACGAACACCCAGCTTGAAATATTCATAATAATACACAATCTTTCACTAATATCATAATAACTTACGTTTTCAATTCACCAACTTTATTTACTTAAAAACTTTTTAGTAATAAAACTAAATAAACCGAACGCGAGAAATCTTTTCCGGGCAGCGATGTCACAGATGCTACTTCTGGAACTGTACTAACAGTACTGACAGAATATTGATTACAGCGCAACTCGCTGCAAGTCTTGATGCACTGCTGTTGGCGTCTATGTCAGACCTAGATTACTGTGCATTGAATGAGAGGTGTAATGGTGCGCTCCCTGGCAGAATTTTGTTGAACTACTTTTGCTATTTGACTTACCGCGAAAACCATTAGAGGACGTTAGTATGGCCATATCAGCTAGTGTCTTACATAAAGTTGCAACCTTTTCAGTTTATTTATTAATTAGTGTTTGCTATCGGATATAAAAATTTAAGAATTGTAAATATTGGTTGTATAAGATGTCGTTGAGTTTATTATTCACATATTTAAGCCGATTTGTTTCGTAATAAAAATAGTTTTACCGCTTCTAGCTATTGAGCAATAGATGGCGCTGTACGTAGGTTAACTTATTATCAATAATATTATTAAAAAGAGCAAAAAAATGTTTTGTATGTATTTTTAAGTATATTTGTATGTTTGTATGTTTGTTTGTAATGGATTTAAATAAAGTTTGTATGAAGATAGTTTGAGACCCTGAGAGAGAAAGGATAGTTTTTATCCCGGAAATCATCCCTTAAGAGAGATGAGAGTTTGTATGGGGAATCAATCTTTTCTCACGTAATAAATATAAAACTCATCATACCTACGTATATATGTATATAATATATGGTCTATCTATTTCATACTAACCGTTAAAACGTACCTAGAGACCTAAGCAAAACGAGGGTGCTATATGTTATGTAACTTTCGTAGTTATTGATATTATTTATTGTTTAGATTTTTATTTAACTAAATAGAACTCTTAGATTTTTCTTAAAAATGTTTTGTTTTATTTATCTTTTAAGAATCTATTTAGAAATTAATATTTAAATATAAACGTATCGTATAATAATAATTAATCTATCAATTAACTTTTACTTTATAGTCTAGTAAAAGATACAGATATTAATTATTTTATCAAGTCTTATCGGGCTTTGAGCTGACTTTGAGCATATAATATTTTGCTTTCGTGATAAAATTCTACAAAAATTTTTCGTCGGTGTTATCACGTCCTATATGAATTTTATATTTACTATATAAAGAGAGAATTTTGAAAATTTAATTTCTGTTCTAGTTTTTTCCTTTATAACCATTTTACCGAAACAAACAAAAATTTAGACTATACTAGTACATATCGCAAACAAAAACGTTTATAAAATATAGAAGTACAATAGTGCAATAAAATAAGTGATTCTTCGAATATGGACATAAACAGTGTGATAGTAAAATAAAAAATTGATGCATAAGTGCTTGTGTGTCGTGTGTGTTTGTACCGAAAATGTGTTGTGATTATGCGAAAAGAAGACTTGTTGGTCTATGATGTTCCTGTGAAACTGTAATAAGAAGTGTATTACAAAATGTTGAGTCGTTGGAAAAGTAAAGATAAATCGGAGAAATCCAGCAAGTCTTCAAGTACAAGTACAAAGAAAAAGAGGAAAGGAAGAGACAATGGTACGTATACATTTTAAAATCTGACTATAGCCATTTGTTGTATTGTTACTATTTCCTACACGTAAAGTTGCCTGGAATAAATCGCTTTTTTAGCGATAATGCCGCCTCTTTTACCTTCTACTATATATTTTTATATATTTTCTTTTCTCTTTTTGCGAGTACACAAAAGAGTTATTATCTTATTATTTTATCTTAATGTCAGATATAAAATTTGCTACTAAGTTAAGAAAATAACATACATATTTTATTTTACAAGGAGTTCGAGTAACCTAAAACTTTATGCTTTTCTAGCAATAGTCGTAATTTTGAAAATAATTTGAATAATTATTTTTAATAAGACTGAAGGTAAAGTAGTTGTAACACACTGGCCCTCTTTAAAATATCATGTCGCAAATTTTAATACTTAAGGTCTTACAAAAGACTTATTACATTCCTAGTAGCCAAATGTTAAAACAAAAGGTTACAATTCCAAGGCTTTAATTATGTACATATTATGTGAGTGTTTCAATATCCAGTAACTCAGCTAAGCAATATGATGTTTGTTTTTAAAATTAAGTTTTTATATTATTTTGAAAACAACAAAAACAAAATTAATATCTACGAGGATGGGTCCCATTCCTGATGTATGTAATATATATTTTGATCGAAATATTTTATACCGGATTTCAATGTAACACTTTAAATAGTTATAGATCTGCTGCTGCCTCGCCTTTAATTACTAGTACAAAAAGAGAAACATATTTCTGAAAGGATAGGTAACTAGATTGTTTAATCAAATTTTTCAAAAAAAAAATGAATTCCAAAATTGATCAAAAACTAATAAAATATCGATAAAATTAAAAAAAAAACCATAAACAGATTCTAGGGCAAAAATATACATAAGCATTGGTATACTTTACGTGAATTCCAACTTTATTATTTTTTCACGACTCGTCAATTTACAAAGTTGGAATGTTAACGGCGACATTAAATACAAAATTAGCGTCAACTTAAAAACTGAAGGATACCATCTTTTTCGTTTTTTCCCGAAAAATACAGTGGTATAATCAGTTTATAAAAATTTGGTTAATAAAGTACACCTCTTCAATGGTAATTCAAAAAAAAGTAGTTTACAAAGTAAAAATTATCGATATCTCCAATTTTTTAAATTTTTAATGGTGTTTTTACAAGACGGCCACATAAAGTTGGGTGTGATTTTCTGCCTCTTGAGACCATAAAATATACTTTTCTAGGAAATGGCTAAATATATTTTTTTTTAATTTATATCATGTATTTCCAAGATTACATTCCCTTAGTTTCATAAAAATCAAAAGATGATTCTAGAAATTAAAAATGAAAAAAACCAAGAAAAAGTTAAAACCAAGTTTTTTGCAAATATCTCGAAAACCTTGAGTAATTGTAAAAGTGTTATTCAAAAGTTGTAGATTTTTACTAGACCTACAACTTTTATACAAAACATTTTTCGTTAGACCGTCACAGTACCGGAAATTGAAAAAACTATTTTTCAACGCTTTGCGTCCCCCCATTTCACGGGGGTAGCTGGGCATCGGGAGCATTTTACAAATTTCTATTCTTTATATACCTGCTAACATTTTAAAATCATAAAACTTCAGGTTTTAAATATATTTTTTTCTCTTTAAAATAAATGGTCTATGGTCTATGTGGTATTTGCCCATTTCTATCTATATCAGCTCTCGGAATTCTAGGTTTAACCTAACGCTACCAATTAATAGATATGTACGCATACGTAGATTTAGGAATGCGAACTATTTTATTTGAGTAATTACATTGTGGCTATCTCATTAGCATTGCAAGTGAGAATTTGATTCGAAATAACACAACATATTTGGCAAGTCGCATTACTTATTAGCTTATAAAGCAACATTTAACTGAACAATAATGGAAATAATTAATGTCTTCATAAATAAAATAGAAGTGTTAGTATTGATTGATATCATTTATTTTAGGTTATTCTGTATTTTCACACAAAATGTCATCTAAAAATTAACACACAGTTAACGCAATGTACAAGAAGACTTCCAAATTCCATCATGATCGAATCCGTAATAAAAATCAATGCCTAGTCGATGTTATTAGTAGATCTGTTGGTATCCGTATAGCAAAGCTGGGGTCACAACTCACAGGGTAAATCAATCTTCATACCGGTCATTATTCACAGGACAACACAACACACAACGATCAAAGAATACTGAGTTGGGTGAATTAAGAATGCATATAGATAATCTCGACTTTCGAGATTAGAGAAAATTTCAAGTAATTCTGATCGTAAATATTTTTTTCATTGTATTATAATGTGTTTTCCCGTGGGAATGAGATGATCTCTCGCGATAAAAAGTAGTCTATCTCACTCTCCAGCTCTCCAACTATCTCCACACCAGAAATCACGCCAATCCAATACTCCGTTTCGACGTGAAAGACAAACAAACACATTTTCACATTTATAACATTAGTATGGATTCTTAAAATAAATCGCTGAATTAAGACAATATTAAATGTTTATATAACTAGGCTTTTTTTAAATAAAATAACTCTAATATAAACTTATATCTACATATATTGTAACAAATAGTACTTCATGCGAATGAATGAACATCGATTGTTGGCGAAACATCGATTGTTTGCGCGTGAGTGTTTGCGAACATCAACGCGCGTTTATCACAACACTACTAGTTCAATCGGAATCCGGTTTGGGAACAAAATATTGAAAACCTGAAGTTTTATGATTTTGAAATGTTAACAGGTATATAAGGAATAGAAATTCGTAAAATGCACCCGATGCCCAGCTACCCCCGAGAAATCAGGGGACGCAAAGGGTTGAAAAATAGTTTTTTTCAATTTTCAGCTTACTGTGACGTTCTATCGAAAAATGTTTAATGACCCACTACTACACTTAATTCCGAGTTTAATATTTTAAATTATTGATGTATTTATTTACTTGTTGCAGAAGACGACTGGCAGGGAGATCCAAGAATTGATGGTAAGTTAAAAATGGTTATATTTAAAAAAATTAAGAAACAAATTTTAAGTACATGAATATTTTTGTAATTCTATGTTCTTTAATGCTTTTACTTATATTTTTAAATTTGTCTCTTATAATACATAGAATTTTAATTGTGTAAGGGGATAAACTAATATCTTGTCTATCCACTGGTCCACTGTATTGGATTGGTATATAATATTGTACATTGTACATACAATTATAATAAAATATAAGATATAAGAAGTAGGCAAAGTTAAAGTCATAGGGAAGTTCCTTAAAGAAATAACATACATTCTTTTAGAGAAGCAAATTTTTCAAAATTTTCAAACAGTTTTCGAGATTTTTGTTGATTTTGTTTCCGATATATATAACGTCTGTTACGTCTGTTGACATTTGCAAGCAGAAATAAAATATAAGAATAAAATAAGACAATTGGAGATTAACCTAACCTAACTGAAGGGTTCTTCAAAGTAAAATTAATTTATTATCTTCTAGTGGTAGGGGAGCCCAAGAGAGTATTTTTGCAGTTACTTAAGCGCGGCAGATTAACATAAGGGAGGATACCTTGCATCTGTTGAGTACCTCCACCATAATATAAGTCGTCTATATAAGGGGGTGCTTCTAGAGTAGCCGATCAAAATCTTTAAAAAATATTTTGATAAGGTAGAAATACATGAAACCGTCAGATTAAGATATGGTGGGCTAATTACATCCTGAAAAATGTGCAATTCAATAATCTGCCGATTTACACAAGCCGAAGAGGCAAAAATCGCAAAAATCGACTATAAAGTTTATGTTGATTTTTATGTTAATCTGCCGCACTTGAGTAACAGCATAAATCACCTCTTGGGCCCCCTACTGTAGTGACTTACTCTCGCTTCGCTCGGGTGCGGCCCTAGCTACGTGCACATAGCGTTGCTGGAAGAAAGAATAATTCTGTAATAAATTATTATCATATAACTTTATTGGTCTACGCGGCGCACCCAATAAAGCTCCCAGTGGGCATGATTTTTCCCACATCTTCTACAATCATCAACGTATTACAGCCAATTTACACAAAAACTTAATAAATTATACACTTAACCCTTCCTCATGAATCACTCCGTCCATTAGTAAAATCCGTTCGGTAGTTTTTGAGTTCATCGCATTTAGACAAACAGACGCGGCGGGAGACTTTATTTTATAACTATCGACTCTCCCTCTACAACGTCACAAACTCACGAACTTTATCTCTTTATAATATTAGTATAGATAAAATTAGTATAAATATGTAATGATGGTTATTGCAAGTGTACCTGAGAACATATACATATACTATTACAGACTTATCTTGGCTTTAAAAAGTCCTACAATTTTCTACTACATTGTTTCAATGTTAGTACGAGTATGTATCTCTTAAGATTTAGCCAGCGATAGTCATATACATTTTTAAGGACTTGATAGAACCAGTAATTGTGTTTTTCCTTGGAAATTAAATTTTACTAAAAGGTATCCTAAATGTCGACCCGAGTAATAAGTTATCACTACACAGAATTTAGTGAAAATCGGTTGATTACTGTTTGCGTGAAACGCACACACAGAGACAAACAGACATATAGACAAACAGACAAAATTTTGAAAAACAATTTTTTTGTGGTCTATTTGTGTACATAATACGTTACAATCATTGTTTAAAAAAATTTGTTACTGTTTTATTATATGTGTAGATTCTTCTATACATATGTATAATAAAATTCCAACTGTGTCTAATCTGTGTATTAAATATTTTTCGAAAAATCTTATTGAATCTATTGCCACCTTCACGATTCTATCATCGTACCCTTCGCCATCGGGTTGGATGTCATCCTCACATTTTAGATGCTTGGCATCCTACAAATGTACGTGCATCTCGTTCTTTTCTACCTCGCACGTGCAAAATGTGGAATGATCTTCCTCCTGAGGTTTTCCCTGAGCGCTATAACATGGGGGTCTTCAAGAGCCGTGTCTTCAGGTCCTTTAAAGGCCGGCAACGCATTCGTAACTCCTCGTGTGTTGCAGATGTCTATGAGCGGCGATAGCCACTTACCATCAGGTGGATCGTTTGCTCGTTTGCCCCTTTTTTCTATAAAAAAAAGAAATAGGCATTATTATCAAACAAACTTACGAAATATTATTTTCCAGTTTTTATTTTGTCTCTAATGTATTATATTCTAGCTTTTGAAATTTAAATTGCTTAAAGCTTTATGTGCTGCACAATATGATCAAGTTACTATTTCATGATAGCATGTTTATGATATTATATTAATTAGCCGAGGAAATGGGATCATATTTGCAATAAGATATGTTATGCAGGGACTTGCAATATGTAGTTATAAGTATGTTTTAACATGAGGTGTATCAGAATTTAATACTTATTTTATGACGATATTAAACGCTGTCTTTTCACATACACACATTTTATAAATAAAAATTTACCTTGATGTTAATTTATTTTAAAAAATCCTAGGCTAAAGCCTACACCTAACCTAAAATACCTAGCTAACCTAAAATATCGAGTAGCATATAGTATATTTCGTGTTGCTTTTTGCAATTCTGTTGAATTTCTGTGTGTTGGAGGAGACATTTTCTATAAATGTAAGTTTTATTTAGAAATGATGATTGTTGATGGCTTTATTGTTGACTATATTTATTACCTTGAAAGGTCTACTTTCATTTAAATAACACGTAGTAAGATGTGCTCCATGCATTCCTTAGTTGCTCTTAAATTTTGGATTGTAATTTTTTTACCACGCAAAAATCAATTTGTTAATGTTTAAGGTTTCTATTCTATTTTTTTTTAATTTTTAATCAGTCTAGGTCCGTCCATCATCTCGATTTCTATATTAGCTTTTAAGTATCATCATACTATTTTTATGAACCATTTCTAGTAGCATTTATTTTAAGTTTTATTTTCGAAGCTTTGTTTTCTTCCATTGATTGTGATTGAATTCATGTGAAATTTTTGATGACTACAGTTTCTTATGACTCTCATTACTTAAATAAACGATCTTAATTAATTAACATATTGTGAAAATCGTAATAAAAATTGAATATTAGAACAATTTTATTTTATGTGAAGATAGCTGGAGAGTGACATAGGCTACTTTTTACCGCGGGAGATTATCACATTCCCACGGGAAAACACGTTATAATACAAACCACAACAACCCATCATACCCACCGTCCCACCACCGTCAAAACGTACCTAGGGACGAATTCGAGCGAAGCGATGGTGAGCCGGTAGTTTACTATATCTTAACATTTATGATGCAATAGAAATAGCAGCAAAAGGAATTTGTATGCACAATTCGAAATTATATAATAAATCTGGAGTTTACATCCTCCATTTAATATAATTAACTTGCAGTTTTTAAAATTTGTGTAGATGATTAAGAGGTTGTTCTCACTTCGACACGACATTATTGATATGAAATTCATACCAGATACTGAGGTCTATAGTCCCTATTAGGTGTATAAAAAAATCAAGGTCCTGAGTCAACACGATAAAAAGATATGGGCAAATGTAGATTTTCGCGAAAACTTGTAAGTACCAAAATTTATCTTAACTTTCAACTTTTTTTATTTTTCGGAATTTTCTCTTTACCTGTGCTTTAAGACCTTGCTTTTAAACAAAATTGACAATCTTCGGTCAACTGGAAGTACTCTATAGGTTTAGGGTCGAAAACTTATATGGTAGTTCCCGTTGACCTAGAATAACGAAATTTGGCAAAAAGAGAGCTCTTAAAGCATAAAAAAACATTCTAAAAAATAAAAAAAGTTAAACAGATCTCCTACAAAGTACGGACGGAAACTTCGATGGGCGAGTCCGACTCGCAATTGACCGTAATTTTTTCTTATGGGACTGGAACAGATGAAACGTCAATAGCTGTAGAAGAGTTATTAAAATTTATTTTCACAGATTTTCATAGAGGATATTTCTATAGATAAAATAACTATTTTAATACGAACGTAAGCAAACTATCTGCGTGGATAATATTTTTCAAAATAGTATTTTTCAAAATATTTTGGTATTACTAGAAAGACGAATTATTGCTGAATAAGATATCTTAATATGGGAAATGTTCGACCACACGCTTTTTTCACGATCACATTTTTTCATTTTAACGACCGATTAATAAATCAATAAATTTAATTAAATTTACATTTCATTGTCTATCAGAACTTGATGCTATGACACAATATTATTTTTGTTGTCAATAAAATCAACATTGCGCGAATGAAATTTTAAAACGATTGGAAGTTAAACCAACAAAGTATATAAGTACAAAGTAAACAAGTTTGTAAGTAGTTGTCTGGTACGAGAAATTATACTTTTAAATAGTGTCAACTTTAAGTCACACTCCTTACCTGTCTTTATATAAAGTTTCTAGAACATAAACATTAAATAATACCTACAGGTTTTCACATTTTTCTTGTACAATATTGCTCATATCTTCTAAATTTCGGGTTATTCGATTTTCATAATTCCAATTGGAATATTAGTTTTATTGTGTAATCAAAATTTATTTTAAAATATTTTCGAAAATAACATTAACAATTTAAGTAAGACTTTGGCCAAATCCTATCAGCAGTATAGAAGATGTACTGCGCCGACCCCAAGTGATTGGGAAATGGGCAGGGAGAAGAAGGAGAAGAATTGGAATATTAGTTTTAGACCTAAACCTATCTTTTGAGACTAAAATTATTGAAATATCTCTACAAGCAAAAATTCTCCTTTTTAGTTTACGTAATTATACAAAAATTGTAACAACATTCAAAATTCTCTTCAAACTTACTTTAGTCATTCTAATTAGATTACCCTATGAAATCCAATAGGTTAAAATTAAATAGAATAAAATAAACATAATAAGGTGAGATGTCAGATGTTACACATCATAATAATGCGACTACCTACTGTAAGCTTCGATCAACAATACTACTAGATATCGGGTCGGCGAAAGAAATCCGTCTCGGTAAAT